CTATCTGCTGTGGATCTTGTGTTGTTTTATTAAGTCTCTTATTTTCCTTATTTTTAACTTGTGGGGATGGAACGTAGTTTGTTTTCCTCTGTGTGTTACTTATAAGTATTTTAAATATTATATTTAAAGGTATAAATATGTAAAAAAATTTCCCATCTCTTTTCTTGCATCACCCTGTTTCACATACTTGCTCATCAGTGAACTGTCTACTCATTTAGGGGTATACATTTTAGCATGAGGAACCATTGTAATGGGTTGGATTAGGGGGCTTTTTTTTATTACAAGTACAGCATGAAGGATTGATTAGTAGAACAGGTACAACTGGAGGTTATTTTATGTACATGCTTTTCATTTTCTGTAGGCATGGTGAAAAGGTCAGTCTCAGCAGTAAGTGTGCAGAAATCGACCGAGAGATGATAAGCTCCCTTGGGGTTTCCAAGTCTGTGCTAAATAATGTCATTTTCTGTCACCAAGAAGAGTCTAATTGGCCTTTAAGTGAAGGAAAGGCTTTGAAGCAAAAATTTGATGAGATTTTTTCAGCAACAAGGTTTGTAACCTTTAATTAGACTTCAGCTTATTAAGTTATGGAGCCATGTTTGCAGTTTGGATGTTGCTTTTTTTAAAAGCAAGAAAGTTGTGAATTATTACCTCTTTGTCCAGTAGCAGCCAGTGGGCATACTTCCTTTCAGTTTTCTTTCTGTATGTATTTGCCTGGTTGATAGTATGTAACTATTATATCATAAACATTTTCTAGGTTATTAAAATCTCTGTTACTTTAATCTTAATGATTGCATAATATCCTTTTGTTTGAATGTACTATAATATACTTAGCTAGGAATTTGTTTTTTATTTAATATCTTCAAAGGTACATTAAAGCCTTGGAAACACTTCGGCAGGTGCGTCAGACACAAGCTCAAAAAGTAAAGGAATGTCAGACAGAACTAAAATATTTGAAACAAAATAAGGAAAAGGCTTGTGAAATTCGTGATCAGATAACTAGTAAGGAAGCCCAGTTAACATCATCAAAGGAAATTGTCAAATCCTATGAGAATGAACTTGATCCACTGAAGGTAATTTGATTTCTTGTATGCTAAGGAGGTCACATTTACCAGGGTAGCACTGACTCCTCAAACACTTTATTTTTATATGAATTTGAATGGTGCATATATTGAAAAAATTATCAGAGACTATATAATGTTATGGTTAATGTCTTAGGTCTATTTCAGGTGGTTAATCTCAAAGTTCCCAAAGAGCTTGGATTTGAGAGTAAAGAAATCTGTAGTATTATACTAAGTTAGTAATGGAGATCACTAGTTGTTAAATAAAGTGAGTGTAATGACTCAACCTTACTTTCCTGTATTTCTAAGGAGTTTTTTTTAATTGACAGATCTTTCTAGGGAATTTTTATAATTTCCAGGATGTTCTTTACATTGCACAAAATTTGGAATTGATGCATGGAATGTTGATATATTTGCAAATGAGTACAGCTTTCTAAACTCTTTGGTTTTATAGAAATCCCATTTGTTCATTTCACAAGCATATTATTTCCTATTTGCCAGGGTATACTATACTTAGGGCTACAAGTACAGGGAGGACTACAGCCGTGTTCTTGCCCATTTGGGATTCTTAGTCTAAACAAATAAGAACAGTCTTGAAAATGTCATTTTATAGGTTTCAGCTAGTAGATTTTTTTTTAGAAAATTTAAAAATTATTGATTGGGCTTTCAAAAATTCACCTAGAAATACTGGTATAGATCTTTGAATTGTAAACTCTAAAAGCCTTGGTCTTGGTTTAGTTTAAATGCCCACTGTCATTAGTACATCCTTTAGTAAATATCTATTGTTTTGTGCATAGCACTGTGCCAGGTGCTCTTGGAGATAAGGAAGTTAGTCAGACCTTCCTTTCAAAGAACTTAAAATCTGGGTGAAGAAACAAGGAAACTCGTTTAAAGATAGGATTGTAAAGTAAATTAAAGAGCTACACAAATGAAATAGTTTAGAACATAGATTCTTAAGGTGCTAAAATACAGTGGCTGTAGCACAAGTGAGAAGAGGAAAAAGATATAAATTGGACTTCATCAAAATAAAAAACTCTTGTTCTACAAACTGTACCATCAAGAAAGCAAAAACACAAGTGGTAGAAAATATTTGCAAGTCATAAATGTGGTAAGGGACTTCTATCTGGAATATGTAAAGAACTCATAACTTTTTTGGTATTCTTTTTTTTTTATTACAGTATTACTGACATACAATCTTATGAACATTTCACATGAGCAACATTGTGGTTACTACATTCACCCATATTATCAGGTTCCCCCAACATACCCCATTGCAGTCACTGTCCATCAGCGTAGTAAGATGTTACAGTTACTACTTGTCTTCTCTGTGCTATACTGCCTTCCCCGTGCCCCTCCTGCATTATGTGTGCTGATGATAATAGCCCTTAATCCCCTTCTCCCTCCCTCCCCGCCTGTTCTCCCCATGCCCTTTCCCTTTGGTAACCACTAGTCCCTTCTTGGGGTCTGTGAGTCTGCTGCTGCTTTGTTCCTTCAGTTTTGCTTTGTTGTTAGACTCCACAAATGAGGGAAATCACTTGGTACTTGTCTTTCTCCGCCTGGCTTATTTCACTGAGCATAATAACCTCTAGCTCCATCCATGTTGTTACAAATGGTAGGATTTGTTTTCTTCTTACAGCTGAATAATATTCCATTGTGTATATGTACCACATCTTCTTTATCCATTCATCTACTGATGGTCACTTAGGCTGCTTCCATGTCTTGGGTATTATAAATAGTGCTGCAGTATACATAGGGGTGCATATGGTTTTTGGAATCTGTGATCTTGTTTTCTTCAAGTAAATTCTTAGGAGTGGAATTCATGGGTCAAATGGTATTTCTATTTTTAGTTTTTTGGGGAACCTCCGTATTGCTTTCCACAGTGGTTGAACTAATTTACGTTCCCACCAGCAGTGTAGGAGGGTTGCTCTTTCTACACATCCTCACCAGCATTTGTTGTTCCCTGTCATTTGGATATTCGCCATCCTAACTGGTGTGAGGTGATATCTCATCATGGTTTTAATTTGCATTTCCCTGATGATTAGGGATATGGAGCATCTTTTCATGTGCCTATTGGCCATTTGAATTTCTTTTTTGGAGAAGTGTCTGTTCAGATCCTGTGCGCATTTTTTAATTGGGTTATTTGCTTTTTGGGTGTTGAGGCATGTGAGTTCTTTATATATTTTGGATGTTAATGCCTTATTGGATATGTCTTTTACAAATATATTCTCCCATACTGTAGGATGCCTTTTTGTTCTACAGATAGTGTCCTTTGCTGTACAAAAGCTTTTTAGTTTGATGTAGCCCCATTTGAAAAACTCTTGTAACTCTTATAAAAATATATAAAGAACTCATAACTCATAAAAATGTATAAAGAACTCTTATAACTTACAAAATAAATCACATATTTTGAAAATGAAGAAAGGATCTGAATAGATATTTCTCCAAAGAAGATAATATGTGTCCAGTAAGCACATGAAAAGATGCTTAATATCATTATTCGTCAAGAAAATGGAAGTGTAAACCACAAGTACTACTTGACATTCACGAACATGGCTATAAATCAAAAGGACAGATAATAAGTGTTGATGAGAATGTGGAGAAATTGGAACCCTGATATTTGTTGGTGGGACTGTAAAATATTGTAGTCACTTTGGAAAACAGTTCAGCAGTTCTTCAAAATGTTTAATAGAGGCATCTTATTACCCAGCATTTTACTCCTAGGTATCTTATACCCAAGAGAAATTTACACAAAAACTTGAAAAGAAATTAAATAACATTATTCATTCATAGTAGCCAGAAAGTGGATACAACTCCAGTGTCCATGAACTGATCAGTAAAATTTGATCTATCCATACTTTGGAGTATATTCAGCCATGAAAAGGAATGAAGTTCTGGTACATGCTAAACAGGCAAGAACCTTGAAAACATGCTAAGTGAAAGGAGCCAATCACAAAAGATCACATACTGTATGATTCCATTTATTCAAAATGTCCAGAATAAGTAAATCTATATATAGAGAAAATGCTCTAGTGATTGCTGAGGCTAAGCAGTAGAGAGCAATGAATAATGTCTGCTGATGAGTACAGGTTTCTTTTTGGAAGTTCAAAATGTCGTATGATTAGATTATAGTGATGGTTGCACAACTCTGTGAATATTCTAAAAAATGTTGAAATGTGTATTTTAAACAGGTGAATTGTATAGTATGTGAATGATATCTCAGTAAAACTTTTTTAAAAATGATGGCCTGAGTAGAAGTCTATCACCAGGCCTTCATGGAAGAAGGCAGGGCTGACCTGTGCCTTAAAGAATGGGAAAAATCAAGTTGACAGCTAAATGGTATTTTGTGTATGTTTGTATTTATTTTTCATTTTTCTTTTAAAAGTTGATAGATACTCAGTGAAAAAAATTATAGAAGAATATTATTTGAAAAGTAAAATACACTCTTCTCACTCATCTCTGAGGTCCCAGATATATCCTACCAGTAGGGTTTTTATTTGTTTGTTTGCATATATACAACACATACATGTATACAAATACTCACATGTATATATATTCACACTATGAGTGTATCAAAACAGGATTGTGTGAGGAAGAACTTGGGTTAAAGGAGGGATAAGAAGTGCAGTCAGATTTTTGGAGAGCTAATGGACTTAGAATTTAGTTCAATAGAAGAATAACAAAGTATTTTATTTTTAGGATAAGATGTCCTGATAACGGTGTGTAGGTCCTGTAGTAATTACCAAGATATTGGAACACATTTGATTTTCTTCAAGAATGGCCTGGTTTGGTGTCCATCAGTAGATGAATGGATAAAGAAGATGTGGTACATACATACAATGGAATATTATTCAGCCATAAGACGAAAACAAATCCTACCATTTGTGGCATCCTGGATGGAGCTGGAGGGTGTTGTGCCCAGTGAGGTGGGCTGGGCAGAGAGGGATGGGTACCAGATGATTTCACTCATCTGTGGAGCATAAGAACAAAGCAAAAACTGAAGGAACAAAACAGCAGCAGACTCACAGAACCCAAGAATGGACTAACAGTTGCCAAAGGGAAAGGGACTGGGGAGGGTGGGAAGGGAGGGAGAAGGGGAATAAGGGAAATTATGATTAGCACACATAGCATGGGGGAGGTACAAGGGGAAGGCATTATCACACAGAGAAGACAGGTAGTAACTCTATAGCATCCTACTGTAATGCTGATGGACAGTGACTGTAATGAAGTATGTGGTGGGGACTTGATAATGGGGAGAATCTAGTAACCACAGTGTTGCTCATGTGATTGTATATTAATGATACTGAAAAAAAAATGCTCTACATCATTAATCACTAGGGAAATGGAAATCAAAACCACTATGAGGTATCACCTCACACCAGTTAGAATGCCTACTATCCAAAAGATAAGAAATAAGTGTTGCTAAGGATGTGGAGAAAAGAGAACCCTCCTACACTGTTGGTGGGAATGTCAGTTTGTGCAGTCACTGTTGAAGGCAGTGTGGAGGTTCTTCAAAAAACTCCAAATAGAAATACCATATAACCAAGATACATGCACTATGTTTATTGCCACATTATTTACAGTAGCCCAGACATGGAAGCAACAGTAGTGTCCTTCAATAGATGAATGGATAAAGAAGAAGTGATACATATACACAATGGAATATTATTCAGCTATACAAAAGAAAAAAATCTTACCTTTTGCAACAACGTGGATGGACCTAAAGGGTATTATGTCATATGAAAAAGCCAGGTGGAGAAAGACAAATACCCTATGATTTTACTTACATGTGCATTCAAAAAAGATAAAATAAAACGGAACAAAATGAACAAAACAGCAGTAGACTCATAGACATTGAGAAGTTACTGATGGTTCTGGATATGTTGGATTGTGTGGTTAGGTTGGATGAGGGGGATAAAGAAATACAAGATCTCTATCATAATATGTTATAGGAATGGAAATACAGCATGGAGAATATAGTCAGTGGTTCGGTAACATCTTTCTATGTTGACAGATAGTAACTGCACTAGTGGGGGTAAAGATTTAATAATGTGTGTAACTTTTGAATCAATGTATACTTGAAACCAATATATAGTATATCAACTATACTTCAATAAAAAAAGAATTAGATTGAATGTTGAGCACTTTGTACAATGTCTGCAATACAGTAGGCATTCAATGATAGCTATGACTTAATGTTGGTAAAATTACTTTTCTGAAATCTTTCATTCAGGTAACATACTGAATACCTATTACATGCTGAGGGATACATTAGTGAAAAAAGTTCCTACTTTTGCAGTGATCATGTGCTATTAATGTACAAATCACAAGATATGGTATCAGTATAATTTTATTAAATGACATTAAAATTGATGCATTTTGATGCAGCTATACAAGCTTGCAGTTGATATCTAAGCACTCTGTTACTATGTTAGTTTAAAAGTTAGGTTCTAAAATTGTTTTAGAGCAATTGGTCAGCCTTGGAATCATAAAGGCAAACCCTAGAAAACTATCCCCAACATCATTCAAGGACAGAGTACTCTTTCTAGACATACGCAGCCAGCTGTCCCTGAAAGCAGGCCACTGAGATAATTTGTCATATTTCACTTGTGCAAAGTCCTCTATGCTTGAGCAAATTTTTAATCAAAGTATAGCTTTACATATAAATTTGCCCATAGGCTCATAATGTACTGGTGACTCACCATGAGTTTCTAGCTCACTCAGTAGTTGTAATTTTTTTTATAAATTAAATAGACTTTTAAGTATTAAGTTCTTAGAATGTTGTATTTTACATAATGTGGCTTCAAGTCCCCAGTGAATGAATGACTTCTGTGGTAGGTGATGAGAGGAGGGCATAAGTTTGGAGTTAGAGGTGGAGTTTTATTCATGCTTTTCTTTACAGAGTTGGGTGAGTAATTGTCTTTGATCTCCCTTTTATAACATTGTTAGCATTAAATGAAATCACTTCTACTAAGTGTCTGGCCTGGGATATCTTATTTCTGTTCATTCATCTGCAGTGTAAATTATAGTGAATTTTATTTATGGAGAGTATTTATTTTCAGAATCGTCTAAAAGAAATTGAACAAAATCTCTCTAAAATAATGAGACTTGACAATGAAATTAAAGCTTTGGAGAGCCGAAAGAAGCAAATGGAGAAAGATAATAGTGAACTGGAACAGAAAATGGAAAAGGTCTGTGGTGGTAGAATTTTGTTTTACTTCAAAAATTTGAAATTATTTAAATGAACCTCATTAGAATCCATTTTACCACTCATATTTTGAAAAAACATACAAATCTCAATGTTTGTGTTATTTCCATGTATATTATAAGAAAGTATATCTGAATAAGCTTTCATATTTTGTACCTCAGAGTGATACCTTCTTACATGTATTCAGTAAAGCTCTTTTTTTTCTACACAGGTTTTTCAAGGGACTGATGAGCAACTAAATGATTTATATCACAATCACCAGAGAACAGTAAGGGAGAAAGAAAGGAGATTAGTAGACTGTCAGCGTGAACTGGAAAAATTAAATAAAGAATCTAGGCTTCTCAATCAAGAAAAATCAGAACTACTTGTTGAACAGGGTAGGACAAAGCGTTATTAGGTCTTTTTTTCCTATTACATTATTAAGCATTTTCTGTGTGAATGATTAATATCCAGGGAATTATGCTGAGTGAAAAAAAACAATTTCATAATATTATATACAGTATGTTTCTAATTATATAACATTTTTGAAATGCCAAAATTTTAGAAATGGAGGAAAGATTAGAGGTTGCCAGGGTTACTGAGTCGGAAGAGGAACAGGAGGAAGTTTAGTGTGGTTATGGTTGTAAAAGCAACGAAAGAATTCTTGTGCTATTCGATGTGTTTGGCATCTTGAATGTTGTGGTTGATATATGAACCTACACATTTGATAAAATTATACAGAACTTAATACACACAAATGGGTACAAGTAAAACTGGGGAAATCTGCAGAAGATTGATGGATTTATCAATGTTAATATCTTGGTTGTGATATCACACTAGTTTTGCAGAATGTCACTAAAAGAAAACACTGTTTTTCGATTCACAATAATTCTGACAGCAGGTGTGGTGGGTTTTTCCATGCCCAGCAATTCTCTAATTCTCAGTGGACATCTACTGGGTGTCCTGTAATTTTTCTGACACTAGCTGGCCAGAGTTAGTGCAGACCCCACAGAATCCCACAAGACTACCCCCAACTTCAGATGCCAATATCAAGTCCCAAGTTGTCACCTGTACTTCTGACCAACTGGCTATAAATCAGGTTCCCACAACTCCTTCTTCAGATTCAATAATTGCTATAATGGCTCATAGAACTCATGGGAACATTTACTATTACCAGTTCATTCTAAAGGATGCAGCTCAGGAACAGCCAAATGGAAGAGAGGCACAGGGCGAGGTATCAGAAAAGGGCAGTGAATTTACATGCCATCTCCATGTGCAGCACTCGCCCAGCACCTCCATGTGTTCACCATCCTGGCAGCTCTCTGAATACCAGTGTTTAGGGTTTTTATGGAAATTCTGTTATTTAGGCCTGAATAGTTAAATCATTGGCCTTTAGTGGCCAATCCTCAGCACCTCCCAGAGTTGCAGGGGTGAGGGTACTGAAAGTTATTCTAATTCCACAGTTGGTGCTTCTCACTGCCAGCTCCCATCCTCTTAAGAGCCGCCTCATTAGAAGAAACTCACACGTGGTTGAAAGGGACTTAGAATGAATAACAAAAGGTGCTTCTCTCACCCCTATTACTCAGAAATTCTGAGTTTTAGGAACTCTGCCAGGAACCGGGGACAAAGACCAAATATGTATTTCTTATTACATCACAATATATAGTTACCACTGGGAGAAGTTAGACAAAGGATGTAAGAGATCTTGCTCTATTATTTTTGGAACTGCTGAAAAAACAGTGGGCTGAAAAAAGAATTAATTATGGATGTGTTTTTTTAAAGGTCGTCTACAGCTACAAGCAGATCGCCATCAAGAACATATCCGAGCTAGAGATTCATTAATTCAGTCTTTGGCAACACAGCTGGAATTGGATGGCTTTGAGCGTGGCCCATTCAGTGAAAGACATATTAAAAATTTTCACAAACTTGTGAGAGAGAGGCAAGAAAGGGAAGCTGAAATTGCCAGCCAGCTGATGGTGAATGTTGTTGTTTTCTTTTGTTTAAGATTCTCTAGTTGAATTATTTTTTAATTTTTGGATGGACATTATTTTGTTATAGTTTGGGATTAATGTTTGGAAGAATCTTACAAGGTGGAAAAAACCTTTACTGAAGCAAATTTTTTAAAGTTTTAAGAACAAAAATATGAAGAAAATATAGACGTATGTTTTTTATTAGATTATAAGTAAAATTTGTTTTTTTTTCAGTTTTATTGAAAACAGCATACATCACTGTAAGTGTAAGGTGTACAGCATAATGGTTTGATTTACATACACTGTGAATTGATCACCACAGTAGGTTCGCTAACATCTGTCTTTGCATGTAGATGCAGCAACAGGAAAAGGAAAAAAGCTTTTTTCTTGTGATGAGAACTCTTTGGATTTATGCTTTTAACAGTCTTCCTGTATCTGGTAGTAGTGTTAGCTATAGTCATGTTGTATGTTACACCCCTGGAACTTATTTATCTTATTACTAGAAATTTGTACCTTTTGACTACCTTCCTTCAACTCCCTTTCCCCCCATTCTCCACCTCTAGTAACCACAAGTTTGATCTCTTTTTCTGAGTTTTGTCTTTTTGTTTTATATGTTTCACATATAGGTGAGATATACAGTATTTGTCTTTCGAAAAATTTTTTTTCTAATAAGGAGTAATTGATACACAATCTTATGCTCAAGTTTCGCATGAACAGCATTGTGGTTGCTACCTTCCCCCCTGTTATCAAGTCCCCACCACAAACCCTGTAACAGTCACTGTCCATCAGCATAGTAAGATGTTATAGAGTCACTACTTATCTTCTCTGTGCTATACTGCCTTCCCTGTGCCTCCCTACTTATGTGTGCTAAGCCTAATACCCCTTATTCCCCTTATCCCTCCCTTCCCACCCACCCTCCCCAACTTGAAATTTATTTTTAAAGCTAATCAAGAAGAAAAAGTTTTGTCAAACTCAATGATTATCTTTAGGTGCTGGTCATTACATTTTTTAATACTTTCCTGTATTTCCCTCATTGTATATGTGTTACTTTTGCAGTGAAGAAGCTTTTTCTTAGTGGATTATTTTGTGAAAAAATTGTTAATGCTCATTTGTCTCATATTTGTTTAGAATGACTTTGCAGAAAAAGAGAATATGAAGCAAAAACAAATAGATGAGATAAGGGATAAGAAGATTGGACTGGGAAGAATAATTGAGCTAAAATCAGAAATCCTAAATAAGAAGGAGAATGAGATGAAAAATGTAAAGTATGAATTACAGCAGTTGGAAGGATCTTCAGACAGGATTCTTGAACTGGACCGGGAACTCACAAAAGCTGTAAGATACTACTTGAGTAAATTAATAAATTTAAGGTATAAGACATTTATAATCTTGTATTCTAAAATATTTTATCTGTTGATAATTCTAAGATTATGGCATTTTCGTTAAAATGTCAACCTTGTCTACCAATCTCCTATAAAATGAATTCATCTGAATATTGTAATCACCCAACTTTTGGGTTCTGCAATCTGGTAGATTGAAAATTAGAATCACCTAGGAAGCTTTTTAAAAATACTTGTATTTAGACCTTACCTCAGATTTTCCTAATCAAAATCTCAAATAATGGTCATGGAAATGTGTGTTCCAAACAAAACTAGGTGATTCTTACGAACACCTTGGTTAAGAACCTCTTACTAAGGTAAAAAAGGAATTTTTTTTCTCTCTAGGTATCAAACACCATAGATTTTATATAATTTTTTGCCGTGTTTACCACATTTTCTATGGTAGAAGCTTTCTTATCCCATCTCTTCTTTTCATGAATTTCCACATTTTCTTCCTTGTTCCTATATGTTCCTTTCCTTTACATCTCCGTAACAAAAGCATCCCAGACTTGGTGAATCACCCTCTCAGATCCCATCTTGGTAATTTAAACACTTTTTTTTGCTCCCTAACTCACCATGTAGTATACATTTTTGTCAATTTAGCACTTTATCACAGTAGCGCTATGTTGTGATTGGGGAGACACTGGTCAGGGACCACATCACAGGATTTTATAGTTTCCATGTACCAGGCATTGTAGTGAATTACATGGGTACTTGATAAATTAATACTTAATTCTTGACTAAAGAGTCACTAAACTGTATGCTTAGACATAGTTCTCTTAATTTTTCACTAATTCTCGTTTTTCCCTCCTCTAAGGTAACTATATAAGATCTTCCTTAAGCAAACAGTAGTATTTCGACCATTCTGAGAAGCTGTTGATTTCTAATACACTCATTATTTTTTAACCTATGCATTTGTTTTGAACTATTGATAAGGAACATGAGCTAAGTAAAGCTGAGAAAAACAGCAGTGTAGAAACTCTAAAAACGGAAGTAATAAGCCTTCAAAATGAGAAAGCAGACCTAGACAGGACCCTGCGTAAATTGGACCAGGAGATGGAACAATTAAACCATCATACAACAGCACGCACCCAGATGGAGATGCTGACCAAAGATAAAGTATGGCCTTTCTTTTTGTTCCAATTATACTTCCTAGTATTTAAAACAGCTTATCTTACATTCATAATTAATAAACAGTGATATATCTATCAGTATTTGCATTATATTTAGGGATTAAGTGTTTATAAAAACTTTCAAGCTTAAAAACTTTTCTAATTACAAAAACTAATGAAACAGACATACATATGCACATATCTGACATATCTGACAAGGGGTTACCAGACTTGTTCCTCTTTTCTCTTAAGTGTAGAATTTTAATTAGTCTAGAATTTGTCTTCGTTCTTGATGTAGTGTGGAGATATTGAACATTATTTTTAAAAGTTTTTTTTTCCTTTAGGCTGACAAAGATGAACAAATCAGAAAAATAAAATCCAGGCACAGTGATGAATTAACTTCATTGTTAGGGTATTTTCCCAACAAAAAACAGCTTGAAGACTGGCTTCATAGTAAATCAAAAGAAATTAATCATACCAGGGACAGACTTGCCAAACTGAAGTAAGTAGTTGCAGCATTTGGAGGTGTAACAGAAATCTCTTTATTTTTAATTAAAAAAAAATAATTTGTTGTTCTGAAATGGTATGTTGTATTAATTGACCTTGGTTCTATATTTTACAAATTAAGTAAAATAATAACAGAGTGATTTGGGGCTCTCATTCCCTGGAATTTTGAATAACTTAGTGAGAGGATTAAAATTGTCCTTATAAAAAAGGAGACTTGGAAACTATAAAACTCCTAGAAGAAAACTTAGTTGAAAAGCTTCATTAAATTGAAATTGGCAATGATTTCTTGGGTATAACCACAAAAGCAAAAACAGACAAATGAGACTATATCAATGTTAAAAACTTTTACACAGCATGAACACATCTACTCGGGCAAGGGAAACAAAATAAAAAATGAACAAATGGGACTACATCATGCTAAAAAGCTTCTGTACAGCAAAGAACACCATCAGCAAAACAAAAGGCATACTACAGTATGGGAGAATATATTTGTAAATGACATATCTGACAAGGGGTTAACATCCAAAATACATAAAGAACTCACACACCTCAACACCCAAAAAGCAAATAAGCCAATTAAAAAATGGGCACAGAACCAAGCCAGAGCCATGGCCAGTACAGTGGTAGCAGTGGGACTGACCATTGCTGCTGCAGGATTTGCAGGCTGTTGTGTTTTGCAAGCCATGAAGCATATGGAGCCTCAAGTAAAATAAGTTTTTCAAAGTCTGCCAAAATCTGCCTTCAGTGGTGCCTATTACAGAGGTGGATTTGAACCCAAAATGACAAAAAGAAAAGCAGCATTAATACTAGGTGTAAGCCCTACTGCCAATAAAGAAAAAATAAGAGATGCTCATCAACGAATTATGCTTCTAAATCACCCAGACAAGGGAGAATCTCCTTATATAGCAGCCAAAATCAATGAAGCTAAAGATTTACTAGAAGGTCAAGCTAAAAAATGAGGTAAATTTGTGAATTTTAAGTTCTTACTAGTTAATGTGTATGAGTACCAGCTTTTTGTAATAAATACTCAAAGCTATGAGTTTTAAAAATGATTTAGCACAGGCTAAATCAAAACCTTCATTTTCTTATAAATCAGATTATAGAATATTTGGCAATTAATACTCCCTGGATAAATACCATTTAAATAGAAAAAAAAATGGGCACAGGATCTGAACAGACACTTCTCCAAAAAAAATTCAAATGACCAACAGGCACATGAAAAGATTCTCCACATCGCTAATTATCAAGGAAATGCAAATTAAAACCACAATGAGATATCATCTCACACCAGTTAGGATGGCCAACATAGAAAAGACTAGGAACAACAAATGCTGGCGAGGATTTGGAGAAAGGGGAACCCTCCTACACTGCTGGTGGGAATGTAAACTAGTTCAACCATTGTGGAAAGCAGTATGGAAGTTCCTCAAAAAATCAAAATACCACTTGACCCAGGAATTCCACTCCTAGGAATTTACCCTAAGAATGCAGGATCCCAGTTTGAAAAAGACATACGCACCCCTATGTCTCTCGCAGCACTATTTACAATAGCCAAGAAATGGAAGCAACCTAAGTGTCCATCAGTAGATGAATGGATAAAGAAGATGTGGTACATACACACAATGGAATATTACTCAGCTATAAGAAGAAAACAAATCCTACCATTTGCAACAACGTGGATGGAGCTGGAGGGTATTATGCTCAGTGAAATAAGCCAGATGGAGAAATACAAGTACCAAATGATTTTACTCATCTGTGGAATATAAGAACAAAGGAAAAACTGAAGGAACAAAACAGCAGTAGACTCACAAAACCCAAGAATGGACTAACAGTTACCAAAGGGAAAGGGACTGGAGAGGGTGGGTAGGAAGAGAGGGAGAAGGAGAATAAGGGGCATTACAATTAGCACACATAACATAGGGGTGTCATGGAAAAGGCAGTATAGCACAGAAAAGACAAGTAGTGACTCTATAGCATCTTACTGTAACCCTAATGGACAGTGATTGTAATGGAGTATGTAGTGGGGACTTGATAATGGGGGGAAACTAGTAACCACAGTGTTGCTCATGTGATTGTATATCAATGATACCAAAATAAAAAAATTAAAAAACTTACACAGCAAAGGAAACAATCCACAGAGGGAAAACCCCATGAAGAGAAAGTATTTATATGGGAGAAAATATTTATAAACCATATATTTGTAAGGGGTAATAGCCAGAATATATAAAGAACTAGAATTCAACAATAGAAAAATAACCAGATTTAAAAGAGGACAAAAGACTTGAATAGACACTTCTCCAAGTAAGTTATACAAATGTCCAACAAACAAAAGATGCTCAACATTACTAATCATCAGGAAAATGTAAATCAAAACCACAATGATACTATCACTTTACACAGGTAAGAATGGCCACTATCAACAAAAGAAAATCACAAGTGTTGGTGAGGTTGTTGAGAAGTTGGAACCCTTGTGGCGCTGTTAGTGGGAATGTGAAATGGTACAGCTGCTATAGAAAACACTATGGAGGTTCTTCAAATGAAAACTAGAATTGCCAGATGATCCTGAAATTCCACTTGAGTATGTATTCAAAAGAATTGAAAACATGATCTCAGAGATTTACAATCCATGTTCATTGCAGTATTGCTTTGAATAGCCAAGAGGTGGAAGCAACCTAAATATTTTTTTAAATCACTTCTGGATCAACCTGGAGGATATGCTGAGTTAAATAAGCTAGTCACAAAAAGACAAACACTGCCTGATTTCACTTGTATTTTTACCCGTCAGAATGCTATTTTTTTCCCAGGATCATGTCTTGGGGGCAACAAAGAATGGAACCAGCAGATGAGAGTATGGAGCAACCAACAAAGCTCTTTTAATAAGTGAAAAGAGAAAGCAAGAACTACGAGCCATGAGGAACTCCAAGAGAGGAGGCTGTCAGGGCTCAGTGCCTGGGGTTTATATTGCCTCCTGAGAGGATAAAGTCCCACCCCCTAATGACATCACAACACACTCCTGATTGGCTGAAAGTAAATGCCTCATCTGCATACAGCATAACCCATCAGAGCCGCTGAGGTCTATCTAATTAAGTGTACTTTTAAATGGTTGAGCTTCATTTGCTTAGGACACAACCAGAGAGCAGCTGAGGTCTAAGTGGCTGAATTTGGACTGGGACTTTTTACAAGGGTCCTGAACTTTTATCTGCCTGCATCCCCCACCACCTGCCTCAGTATGAAGTAGCCAAAGTAGTCACAATTGTAGAAACAGAAAATGGAATGGTGGTTGCAGGAGAGAAAGAGAAAGGCATTTGCCGTTCAATGGGTATAGAGTTTAGAGTCTTGCAAAATAAAAAAGTTTTGGAGATAGGTTAAACAACAGTGTGCATATAGTTAACACTACTGTACTGCATACTTAGAAATGGTTAAGATGGTAAATTTTATGTTACTTTTACCACAATAAAAAGGGGATCACTTTTTTCTAATGTCACCTTGAGTAGTGGTTGGGTAAGAGTCAAAAAATCCACATTAATTTTCGGGGACAATAATGGATTTGGTTTTGGCTGTGTTAAATTTGTGTGTCTTGTGGAAGTGTGGTAGGGAATATAATATTGGTGTTTGAAATTTAGAAGACAAAGTTGTTGCTCTGTGTAAGTGATAATTGGCGTCATTAGTATGGCCATATCACCTTATGCAAAGAAAAGAGAAAACGTTATAGTCAGATTCCTGGGAAACACCATTTAAACTGTTGGCAGGTGAAGGAAGAGTTGCAAGTGAAGGAAACTGTAACATGTCCGGAACCAGGGTGAGAGCCACACAGGAGTGGTATCTGCGATGCCTTGAGAAAATAGCCCGTCCACAGTGTTTGGTGTTACTAGGATGGTGATCTTGATGAGAAGTGCTCAGGGGGCAGGAAAATGAAAGCATCTTCTATACCAGTTATTTTTTTCCAGATTATTACTGTGATTCAAAATGGGAACTATCAAGATGAAGTACATGTGTGCTCATGTATATCTGAAAAAAATTTCTCAAAATAGTACCTGTCGTAACTATGCACAATCTATTCCAATATATTCTCCTCCGTTTCATTTTCTTAAATATGCTGAATATAATGCATTAAATAGGTTACATGACTTACCTAGTGCATCATAATGTGCAAATTGAAAAATCTTGATCTTTGAGGGCACAGAGGTTAGCTAGGATACTTAAGAGTTGGAATAGAGATAAATTGTACTAGTGAGCAAATTCTTTGATGCATGAGAGCAAGTGAATGATCAGGACTTTAGTAGATAATATCAACAGGGAGAGGACCAAGAAGTTTTTAGAGGAGGAGAGGGAAGTGATACTGTGAAAGGTCCAAATGGAATTAGGAGAATGTTCTCCTTTGTTCTTCTCTTTCTCCAGTAGAAGCTCCAGCAGGCATGTTCTCCTTGCTGAGGCTCTTGAGCCAAGGTCTAAGACCATGAACCCCACAACACTAGGCAGAATTTTGCCTATACAGATTTTTCTGGGAGTAGGCCTGTGACCAGGGTTGGCAGGTGAGTCAGTGTCCTAGGGGGAAAGTTCAAGTAGAGGTGGACTACTGCCAAGACTTCTAAAAGAAGTACTTGGTCACAGCAAACCTTTGTAACATTTGTTGGCAGAATTTGTCTTTTATGTACCTACTCAAATTCTTCAAACTCAATTCTCATGTTTTAAAATTGTAATCTGTATTTGTCCTTATTTTAGCAAGGAACTAGCTTCAGCTGAGCAAAATAAAAATCATATAAATAATGAGCTAAAAAGGAAGGAAGAGCAGTTGTCCAGTTATGAAGACAAACTGTTTGATGTTTGTGGTAGCCAAGATTTTGAAAGTGATTTAGACAGGCTTAAAGAAGAAATTGAAAAATCCTCAAAACAACGAGGTAAGTTACCTACTTTATATTATCAAGGTGCTTTGACAGTTTTAAATTCTCATTCACAGTACACTTGTAAGGATGGGAGATTTTGAAAACTTGGTCCTAGAGCTAGATGGCTTAAGTTTTTCAGTTTTAGTTCTACAACTTAATTGCTGTGTGACTTAAGGGAAATTATTAAAACCTTCCTATACTTCAGATTCATTATCTGAGGACATAATTACCCACCACCTAGGATGTTAGGAAAGAGTAAGCGAGATCATAGGTGTAAAGCTCTTAGAATGGTTTCTGGCACATAATAAGCTTTACAATTTTGTTAAACTTCCTGTGTGTTATCAGAAAATAATGTATTGTGCCCTTTGAAAGAAGATTTAAATATCAGATAATTTTTATTTCTTTCATGATGTGTTTATAAAGCAAGAATTATATTTACAGAAAAAGAATATAACCATATTGATGAACTTTTTGTTTTATATTCTTCTCACTGGAAATATATGTGTTTTCTTAACATAGCCATGCTCGCTGGAGCCACAGCAGTTTATTCCCAGTTCATTACTCAGCTAACAGATGAAAACCAGTCATGTTGCCCCGTCTGTCAGAGAGTTTTTCAGACAGAAGCTGAATTACAAGAAGTCATCAGTGATTTGCAGTCGAAATTGCGGCTTGCTCCTGATAAACTCAAGTCAACAGAATCAGAGCTAAAGAAAAAAGAAAAGCGGCGTGATGAAATGCTGGGCCTTGTGCCCATGAGGTGAGACTAGGGATTTGCAGTTGCTGTGCATGTAGCAGCAGCCCTGGAAAGGTGCTCATCCAGTGCCTGGCCTCTAGTAGGTACTCAGTAAGCATGTGTTGAATGAATAAAAGTTAAAAGTCAGGATTCTGAGCCAGTGTGCCCCATCTCATGTTATTTATATGGTAAGAAAAAACAGTTACTTTGTTTAAAGGTAAGCTTGCTTCTTAAACCAGTCACAGGGCAGAAATAATCTTTCCCTTTTTTTATTTGTGTGTTTATTAATTCCTGAGGCTTGGTTTGAGGGCAGAAATTTTGGCAGATTTAGAACTGTTTGCTGGTGTGTTACTTTCTAAATACACCCTAAGAAGTAAAGTACTAAAAAGTCTCCCAAGAAATTTCAAACTGTATTTTCATGTCTTTCCTACTTTGAAAAAGAATGAATCATAGTGATTTCTGTTGCTTATTTTTCCCCTCACTTGTATGAGAAATTTAAATGATCATCTGTCTGTAAATAAAATTGTGTCAGAAAGTATGTGATGCTTGCATAGGTGTTTCCCAGAATATAGAGCACAAAGCTGGTCAATGAGACTAGTAAAACAGTATCTAAGTAAGGGGACAAGCTCTCAAAATTGGACATTTAGAAAGTTGGGCTTAATAAAGTACTTAATTCATTTTAAAATGCATTAATTAAGAAGAGAGAAGCCGTAAATTACAGAATAATAAGGATTTTGAGAATAAGGTAGGAGGGGGAATGTAAGATATAGGGAAATTGATTCTGCCCAGTTAAGAGAAGAAAAGGGGAGAGGGGAACTCGAACTGTGTGAAAAGGGAAGGAGAGTATGACCTTTGCTTCAGTAAAAGGGATCTGGAGTTCAGGGAATTACTTGTAGGCGTTGATTCCCATTAAGTTGGAAATACAGGGCTATATTATGTTCAAGCCTAGTTACAACTCTCTCTGGTAGGCAAATGAAGGATTTAATGAAAGGTGTATTTTAGGAAAATTAATGTTAGTATAGTGAATGGATGACACGAAAACTCTGGAAGCAGAAAGAACCAGGACCAAAGAGGAGTTTTAGGAAAAGAAGAGGAAAAGTTTAAGAAGATGTGCTTTGTGGGAGCCAGCCTCCATGATGGTCCCCAGTGATCCTGCCTCCTGGTATTCACACTCTTGTATGGTCTTCGCTCATGTTTCAGGATTGGTCTGTGTAACCAATAAAACAGGACAGAGGAGACAGCATGTCCCTTCCGGCATTAGGTTAAATAAGGCTCTGTACTTTCCTGTTCTCCTTTCTCCCTTGGATCTAGGGGAAGCCAGCTGCCATGTTGTGAGCAGCCCTGTGGAGGGACTCACTTGGTGAGAACCTGAGGCTTCTTGAACACCCATGTGAGTGAGCATGCCACTTGGAAACAGAGTCTTCAGCAGTCAAGCCTTGAGGTGATTGCAGCCCTGGCTGACAATCTGACTGCAACTCCAGTGAGACACCCTGAGTCAGAAGTACTATGCAGAAAGCTGTTCCTCATCCTGAAATAAATGCTGTTGCTTTAAGTTACTGTGTTTTGGAGTGTTTAATAGGCAACAGTACAGAACTACTGTAATCATCAAGGGTGAAAACCAGATAATTGGGGGCTACCAAGAGTGATAAGGAAACATAAGCAGTTTGAGAAGGAAAAGGAAGGAGAGGAATAAGGAAGTATCTTGAAAAAAATCAAGTGAAAGATAAAATCTGAAGTTGGTGGAAAGTACATGTAGAGGAAAAAGGAAAAATAAGCTTAGTTTTGTGGCATACTGATATAAATAGCAGAAATCAACATTGTATTATATTTTAGGACCCTTTCCATCACAGGTTCCCTTCTCTGAGTGAAGTACATGCCTTATTCATTGTTTTACCTCCATAATTCCTTGTGTATTGTAACTTTGGTAACTACTTGCTGAATGAACAGAACTGTATGAGTTCCAGTCATTTATTCTTAAAACTTAGTGCCTTCTAACGATTTATTATTTCCGGGTTCTGTGTGGTGATTGGCTTTAGTGGGGTGACCCTCCTATGGGGTCTTGCATGTGGTGGCATTCAGAGGTTGGCTGCAGTCATCTCAAGGCTTTTCTGTGCTAGATGTTCAAAATAGCTCACTCCTGTGACTAGCAGTGGCACTGACTGCTGGCTGCGAGCTCAGCTAGGCTGTAAGCAGAATGCCTTCACATGGCCCCCACGTGCGTTTCGGGCTCATGGCAGTAGAGTGTGGCTGGATTACCAAAGGAAGTGTCCTAAAACCAAGAATTCCAAGAGGTAAGAAGTAGAAGCTGCAGGTCTCTTAAAGCGTAGGCTGGAAGGCTGGCGCTGTGCTACTTCTGCTGTTTTCTATTTGTCAGCATAGTCACAGAGCCTGCCAGTATTCAGTGAGAGAACAGACTCTGCCTCTTTATGGGGGGGAATGTTAAAGTATTTGTAGCCACCTTTAGTGCAGATAGTAACCCCAGTATCTGGAATGGCCCCTGTGTTCCATCCTGGTCACCACACATGAAGTAAAATAGCCTGGCTCTAGAAAAGTCAAGTGTGCAGTCTGACAGGTGGTGATCAGTACTGTGCTGTAGGGAAATACACAGGAGGGTAATGAAACAGAGTACCTAGGGGGCGGCGGCAGCGCAACTGCTGATGAACGTGGCATTTGAGCAGAGATCTGAGAGAAGTAAGGGAGCTCGCCATGCAGCTGTCCAGGAGAAGGGCATTCCAGACAGAACAAAACCCCTCAGGCATATTTGACGTGAAGGCCAAAGGGGAAAGTGAGTGAAGATGAGCCCAGAGAGGTAGTAAGGAGCCAGAAAATAATTGCTTATCCCCTTTAAGGAAAATAATACTTTCATTTAAAGCCTTGAACTCACCAACACTTAATATTAAGACCACCACTGTGAATGAAATGTCAGATGAAAATATACCTGTTTATCACTTTGCTTAGTAATGACTCAGGTTCATTTATTATAACACCTTATTTAAATAAAAACTCAGTCTTTTCCCCTATTTCTCCCAAAAGTTTTTTCAGTACCACATCTGTGTTGGTTTCTTTTACATAAAATCCCCTTGGAAAAGGAATGCTGTCACAAAAATAGGTGAATTGAGTTTCTGAAATTTTTAAAAAACAAGACAGAGTATCCTAATAGATTTAATAGCCCATTCTCTCAGGAAATACCATTTCATTTTCAGAGTACTTATTTTAGCATCTTAGGTAATCATCAAAAAAGATAGCACCAAAACCTGGACCTTGTCAGTGAAGCTGTTATGTATGTATGTGAAAATGTAGAAATGGTATTGGAATGGAATGGTTGCAGTGTTCTCCACCAAGATGTACCCAGTCAAATGAATGCTTGACTGACTGGCTTTAGGCCAGCATATCTGGGTCACTTTTTAATTACTTGGCACATAATTTGAGATCAATTTTTGGTCTATGTCCACAACATTCAGGAAGTAACATGAGCATGAAATTATTCACAATATGCATACCTCCATATTTAGTAAGAATTTTTTCATCTCTGTGGTACAAAAAAATTACAGGTTTTCTATTGCCACAAGTCAGTTCAGCTTGGCATTTCTTGGTCATGTGTGGACTTTTAAAAAATCATTAAATAATAACGGTATACAAGAGCTAACCCTTGAGTTTCTAGTTTTGCCCTTAGAAGACTCCCATTAAAAACTAATTTATTGTACTACTTTCATTTTAATTAAGAATATGGAATTTTCTTAAATAAGCTTGATAGCTTTTTTTTTAACATTACATGTTTTATTGATTCAGAGGTGTCAATGAAAACAGGTGTGGGGCTACTATCTGATACAGGGGCAGTAATTCATTAGCTATAGTAGCTGCAGTAAACTAGTCAATAGTTTTTGTGCCATAACCCGCATAGCATTTGGCTGAGCTGTATGCTTCCATCATTTCTTTTAATGTTTTATTTTGAAATAAGTTTAGACTTACAGAAAATTTTCAAATATAGTATAGAGAACTCACCCATATCTTCATTCCAGCTTCTGAAGTTCACAATTTATGTAACCATAATGTAGTTATCAAAACCAAGAAATTAACATTGGTATAATGCTATAAACCTAAACTTCAAAAAATACTCAAATTTCAGCAGTTTTCCCATTTATGTCCTGTTTCTGTTTCAGGATCCAACTGAAAATTCCATGTTTTATCCAGCTGTTATTTCTTCTTACGCTCTGCAGTCTATAACATTTCTTCAGTCTTACTATGTCTTCCATGATTTTGACTTTTGATGAGTATGGTCAGTTAGTTTGTAAAACTCTCGCAGTTTGGGAAACAGCACAGTAGTGTGGTAGCCCCCTTACCCACATTTTTGCTTTCCATGGTTTCCCGAGGTCAGCCTCGTTCTGGAAGCAGATGATCTTGCTCCTGACATGCAGTCACATCAGTTGTAGCCTCGTGCTACGTCACAAAGCCTATGTCATTTCCCTCACTTCATCTCATCGCATAGGCATTTTATCATCTCACATCACAAGGAGTGAGTACCGTACAATATTTGGAGAGAGACTATATTCACATCACTTATTACAGTGTATTGTTATAATTTTCTACTCTGTGCCTAATTTGTAAATCAAACAAGTAGACTTTATTATAGGTACTTATGTATAGGAAAAACAGTATCTATAGGGTTCAGTATTATCTGCAGTTTCAAGCATCCACTGGGGAGGTCTTGGAACATATTCCCTGTGGATAAGGGGGCAATTCCTGTAATTGGTGTAAGCAAGGTCTGCTAATGGGCATTAAATGAGTGGGCAAAAGTTTGAGGAGAAACAGGATATTTACTTAATCTCAAAGTATCTCTCCGAAGATACTTATTAATTACAAAGAGAAAAATAGTAACTTTACAATGGATAAATCTGGCTGACACCAATTTAGCCAAGTGAATAAGATTAACATCTCCAGTAATAAGACAGACTGACTTCATGGTACCCACTAATATGATGCCCTAAGAAGAGGATATGTCACTTCTGTATTTTTGCCAAAAGTACATAATCTGTCTCGTTATGAGAAAACACTAGGTGACTTATTGTTAACTGTGTTATCTGTTAAGGCAAAACATAGTTGATTTGAAGGAGAAGGAAATACCAGAATTACGGAACAAACTGCAGAATGTCAATAGAGAGATACAGCACCTCAAGAATGATATAGAAGAACAGGACACACTCTTGGGTACGATAATGCCTGAAGAGGAAAGTGCTAAAGCGTGTCTGACAGATGTTACAATTATGGAGAGGTTCCAGGTAAGTTTATTGTAGTTTAAAACAGAATAAGTTTGTTTCATATTAGTTTAAATGTGACAGGTAAAAATAGTAGCTAAGTATTCAGATAGAGATTGTGTTTAGAGTTCCCCATACTGAATTTCAGGTAGTCTCAGAGTTTACATTCCTGGGTTTAGATTTTTTATTCATAAATTATAGGAATTAAGAACTAGTTCTGTTTTTCATTTTTAGTTGCTTTCTCTTATTTATGCAATTTACTGAAAATTAATTTCATTTTACCCAATTAAAATTATATCTAAAAGTAGTTACAAATACAGATTTTAAAAAATAATAGAAATTAGTTTTAAAGATTTTTGAATAATGATAATGCAGTAAGTTTCTTACAGAAAATAACTTTGTTTTATTCTTTAGATGGAACTTAAAGATGTTGAAAGAAAAATTGCACAACAAGCAGCTAAGCTACAAGGACTAGACTTGGATAGAACTGTTCAACAAGTAAACCAAGAAAAACAAGAAAAACAACACAAATTAGATACAGGTAATATAGTCTATTTCCTCATGTTCACATAAAGACTGTGACATTCCCAGCATGTGCTTTTTACCATGAATTTTATACCTATAATGTGGACAGAGACTGTCTTTCTGCTTTCCAATCCACAGTATATTCCTTCTCTTTTCTCAAAAGCCTCACTTCTCTGTTTCCTTGCTTTGCACAACGTATTTTGAGTAATGGGAAATTTTGAATGATGAGTATCAGCTGAGCTCTATTCTTTGTTGGCCATACCAGTCCCGTGAGCCTCACCTATAGGTGACCAGGAGGGGACAGCAAGCAGGTTTGGGGGCTGGAGGAGTTCTTGTGGCACTTGTGTTGCAGTGGGTGGAACTCACAGAAACTCAGCCTCTGTGAATTCCATAGACTATAAAACTGGAAAGATGCTTGGTCATAGTATTTTCTGTCTTATATTAATTACTGTGTCAATATATTTTTGTGTAGTTTCCAGTAAAATTGAATTGAATCGTAAGCTTATACAGGACCAGCAGGAAGAGATTCAACACCTAAAAAGTACAACAAATGAACTTAAATCAGAGAAATTTCAGATATCTACTAATTTACAACGTCGTCAGCAACTGGAGGAGCAGACTGTGGAATTATCCACTGAAGTTCAATCCTTAAGCAGAGAGATAAACGTAAGAACATTCACATACATTTGTTTTTTAAATGAGTTTAAATATATGAAGTGCTGTTTATTGGTATAGTGGCTAAACTGGTTATTGTGAGGATCAAATGAAAATGGTATAATTCTTTGTGTGGCTCCTGGGTGACAGAACTTGTACTAATAGGTAAAATTTTATGGGAGAATGATTTTGGCCATAATAAGAACTGGCTGCCTGGTTAAGTAATACTTAAAAGTGGTCAGGTTGTCAGGTGGTGACTAGCTGACTCCATAAAGATTCCTGTGTAAGAGGTTTGTCTTATCTCCAGATCCTGTATTCATGGCAGACACTGCCTTTCATTCAATCACTTTTTCTGTTTGATTCCAGTTGTAGCCTTGGAGGCCTTCACAATATAGTAACCAGGTACTGAGTTGCTAGAGGGAATGGAACTCATTTTACATCCCTTATCCAGATTAATCAAATCTAAGACCCAAGCAATTAAATTTTTGAACAATTTTAGAAACAGTCCTATCTAAATTTTCATAATTATACACATTCAGTAAGTACTAAATATATTACTGAATCTATCATTAACTACTATAGTATATCTATAAAATAAATACTATAAAAATATTTTTGGATTACAAATGCTCAGAGGCTTAGAGTATGGTATAAAATAGTACCTTATATTTATATAGTTTTACTATTTATAAAAGAACTTTGACATTAAACCATTCAGTGTCTCAGTAACCCTGTTGAGATATGTAACTAAATGCCCTTTTCATAGAAAAAGAAATCGAGACTTACAGATGTCCCGTGACTTGCCCAAGTTCAGACAGTAGGAGACCAGGTTAATTCTCAGTAGGTCTTCTGATGTTAAAGACATTTGATTTCCCCCACACCATACCACATCCCAATATAAAATACACCTACATTGAAGTAATAGTAAATAATTGTTTCTACCTTTATAAATTTATTAGATATTTTATTCAGGATCTTAAAATGCTTGAGGATCATTATTTTGAACAGTGGTTATCATATAATTACACTGTAGACATATTACAAAGCCAAAATAATGTGGACTTCTAATTAGTAAAATCATTGCTTGAAAGCCCCTTTCCTTCCAACATAGGTATCAGCACAGCAGTATCAATGTACCAGTATACTTTTTGTTTGTTTGTTTTTATTTTGCTATCATTAATGTACACAGTATACTTTTATTACCATAAAATATCTACTTAGCCTTAGTAAACTAAGTGTTAAGGACAAAGTGTCCTTTATAATCATATTCCCATCTGTAAAAAAGAGCCTTGGACTGAATGAGCTTTCCTATTCTTTGGTCATACAGAGCTGACATGTGCCCCTACATATTCTTAAAAACTTATACCTGAAGCTACACACGCATATAATTGAGAGCACATGGTGTAGATTAAGAATCAAGTCAGTGGTGGAGGCAAGATAGCATAGTGGTTGAAAGAGAGATCTGGAGCTGGGTGGGATTCGAATACTGGCTTCTTCATTTACTATTGTGACTCTGGACAAATCATTTCTGTGCTTGTTTACTCATCTGAAATATGAAATGAGAATAACAGTACCTTCCTCACAGGGTTGTTGGAAGGAGCAAATGAATCTATTTTTAAAGCAAACAGAAAGTGCTCTTATTATGACAGTAAAGTCTGATGACTGAAATAAGATAATGAAATTTTATATAAGACTATATGATTTTTATATTTTTAGGATGCTAAAGAGCAGGTCAGCCCTTTGGAAACAACATTTAAAAAGTTCCAGCAGGAAAAAGAAGAATTAATCAACAAAAAAAATACAAACAGCAAAATAGCACATGATAAAGTAAGATTTCATTTATATATTAAACTTACTATGTCAGAGTACCATGTTGGACACTAGTATTTCACATGAAATAAAAACATCATAAATATTTTCAGATTTGTAACATCTTGTTAAAAAGAGGACTAAACTTAATTATTGTGCTTCTTGATCTAAAATAGAAGTTGGGAATTGAGACTATTTAATCCGTTCCCCTAGGTAATAAAGGAAAGTGTCTGAGATCATGAAATTTGCTGGTGCTAGAAACTGGAACCCATGTCTTCTTCCAAACCAGTATTCCATTGTACTCTCCTTTTAAGTTTTTGTTACCTTAATTTAAGATGTTTCCTTGGAATTAAATCTTAAATGCGCTGGTCCCAAGCACTGTATATATAATAAATATTTTTCCACAGATCAGTGATATCAAAGAGAAGGTTAAAAATATTCATGGTTATGTGAAAGACATTGAGAATTATATTCAAGATGGGAAAGATGATTATAAGAAGGTAATTTAAAAATTAATATTATTTATTTATATTTTTATTTCTTGTGCTTAAAGACTTTTCCTTTTTGTAGCAAAAAGAAACTGAACTTAATAAAGTAATGGTTCAACTAAGTGAATGCGAGAAACACAAAGAAAAGATAAATAAAGAAATGGGAATCATGAGACAAGATATTGATACACAGAAGGTAAGTCTTCTTTGTTGATGGCTGATGGCAGCTTATGGTATCACTTATACCACTTTTAATTTCTTAATTTAAAAATTTTATCTTTATTTTCAATACATCTGTTGTACACTAGAGAAAAGCAATCCCAATAACATAAGTCATTTTTCTTCTTTCCCTTTTTTCATTTTTATTTCCAATAAAAGACCCACCTGCTAAAAGTTTAAACATGAAAGCCATAAAATTGAAAGTTCCCTCCCCTTCTGTCAATTCTCAGTCTCACTCCTAAATGTCATTATTGTTAATAATTTATTTGTTCTTAAAGGAGTTTCTTTGTCATATTCCAGCAGATTACACAATATATCTGTTTGTGTGTGGTGTGTGTGCCTATGTGTGTGTGTATATTTTTACAGATGGGACCCTGCCATTCATATTCACCTTTTTTCACTTAATGCAATTTAATCTTACATATCAACTCAACTCCCAGATCCACCACATTCTTATGGGATATTCCATTTTATGTATGTACCATAACTTGTTTACTTTTTTCCATATTGCAAACTGTGGCAGTGAACATCCTGCATATATCTCTTTTTCCTTGCTTATTCTAATGTATCTTTATATATGATAAATTCACATAAAACAGGGACTGAGGTGTAATAATGCATTCTTAAAAGTTGAAAGCCATAAAACTTAAAGTCTCCATCCCCTTCTGTTTCATATAGAGTGAAATATCTATATATTAACTCATTTTTCAGTTGATTTCTATATCACTTATTTTCTCTATTAAAGAATTATCTTCACCATGCCTGTATAAGCATGATAGTTAATACCTTTAAAAACTACAACATTTTTCTGTGCCTGCTGTTTTAAACAAAACTTGATATTTGAATGCTTTAATCACTTGGCTATAAGTGGTTGTTAAAAATCTCTTTGAAGAGTAGTCATTAGCTTTCTTCCAGGTCTCTGGCATTAGTGCCAAGAATTTCAAATACCCAAATGTCTGTCAAAGATAAATAAAATCTCTGTCATGTAATAAATTCTGAATAACTATATAAATTTATGATGCATTTATATCAAACTACTTATTTATCACTAGCTTATATGTAGATTGCCTGTTTAAAATTGCAATCTATAAATCAGTAATGTCCCTCCATACACGAGATCATTAATGTTTACCAACCTGTGACCCTTTTCAAGTTGATGCTCTAAACTTAGTGGATCTGACTGTATTCGTTTACTTTTATAACCTTGTTCCAAAAATTATTTATACTGTATTAGTTTATTTTTGTAACCTTCCTTGCTCTAGAAATTATTTACTATGTTATATATATAGAACAATGCCAAATAACATTTTAAGTTAATGGGAAAATGAGATAATGTGGAAATAAGGACAAGAAGGTAATGAAACCAGGAAAGTAGTAAGTTTATAAAATGTAGGCCGTGAAATCTGATATGCTTGCTAAATATTCTAGTAGTTACATGAAGAGAGGAAGTCACAATTATTTAAGATTGACATTATCTCAGAGCTCAAAGGAAACCAGTTCCCTATAACCAAAACCAGAGAAAAATGTCTCCACAGGCATTCCTGGAAAGGAGGACCCTATATAGACATGGTTTAATAAAAATCATGTCATCAGCAAACTTCATGGGACTTTTTTTTTTAAGTGTGTTTCAGCATCTTTATCCTCCCTTGATAAGGTTCTGTAGAGGGTGGTATGATTGAAGCCCAAAATAAATGTTACTGTTAGAGAACAAAGGTTAGCTAGGTGAACCTATTAAAATCACCTGGGTTTTTCCATGTCTAGATACATAACCAAAAAAATATAAAACATGTTCACATGAAAACTTGTATTAGAATATTCCTAGCAGCATTATTCATAATAGTCAAGATACGGTAACAGTTTAAATGGTTATCAGCTACTTAATGAATAAATGTGATTATCCATATGTATTAGGGTTCTCCAGAGAAACAGAACAAACAGGATGTGTGTGTGTGTGTGTGTGTGTGTACAAAAATATGTATATAAAGAAATTTATTATAAGGAATTGGCTTACTCGATTATGGAGGCTGAGATCTGCAGTTGGCAAACTGTAGACCCAGAAGAGCTAATGGTGTAATTCCAGTCTGAGTGTAAAGGCCTGAGAACTAGGAAAACAAACAAGCTCGAGATCCAAGAAGAGCTAAGGGTTCAGTTCAAGTGCAAAGGCAGGAAAAGACCACTGTCCTAACTAATACAGTCAGGCAGGAAAAGTTGTATCTTACTCAACCATTTTGCTTTATTCAGGTTTTCCCACATGGTAACCCACATTAGGGAAAGAAATTTGCTTTACTCAGTCTACCAGTTCAAATGTTAATGTCATCCAGAAATACCCTCAGAAACACACTTAGAATCATGTTTGGCCAAATATCTGGGCACCCCATCGACTAGTCAAGTTGACATACAAAATTAACCATCATATCATACAATGGGATATTATTCAGCCATAAAAAGGAATGAAATGTTGATATATGCTATGACATGCACATACCTTAAAAATATTATGCTGAGTGAAAGAATTGCATCAGAAAAGACCACATACTGTATGGTTTCATTTATATTAAATGTCTAGAACAGGTAAATCCATAGAGACAGAGCAGATTAACATTGCAAGGGGTTGGGGTGAAAGAGAAGAAAATAGAGAGTGACTGCTAATAGGTATGCAATATCTTTCTGGGGTGATAAAAAGTTCTGAAGTTAGTCACGACAGTTATACAACCTTGTGAATATACTAAAACTATTGAAATGTACTAAAATGGTGAGTTTTATGGTATATGAATTACATCTTAATTATTTTTAAAGATCACCTGGGGTTATTAAAAATACACTTTTTTGTGTCTCCATTCCAGACAATAAATCTGAATCTCTGGGGTATGGGCAGAGGCATGTATGTTTTGTTAAAGTTCCCCAGGGGCTCTAATATATCCCCTGAACTATTAATCACTGAGCCAGAGCTCTGCATAGCTTTCAAGCAGTCCTTTAGAAATGACATTTTTCCCAACCAGAGTTTTGGTGGATATTATACTGTGTTCTGTTCGGCATATTACTGTCACAGGTACCTTGAAGGTACATGTGTGTGTATTAACCATCATCTGAGCTTGGTAACTGGGGTTAATATTAGGAGTTGAGGGGCCTAACAGCAGCTTATTTATATGTTCAAGCTCTACTAAATTTAGTTCACAGATTTTAAATATTTGAAAATTTAACAATCTGTCTCCATTTTTCAGATGAAGGGATAGAGATGGCCTGGCTTGCCCAGGGTCACAAAAGTAGTGAGTAACAAAGGTAGAACTTGACTCTACATTGTAAAGCTGCTTAATACAATAGAAAAACAATTCTGATGTACTATAAGTGCATCTGGTTTTCTTTCCTCCCTGTCTCTGACACTTTTATTTTATAAACTATGATTGGAACTGTCTCTGCTTAAAGTACAAGGACAAATTTGACTCAAAAGGCAATTACTGAGTCAGGTACCACGTTGATTACTTTATATGTATTCACTAATTTTATCTTCCCAATAGTGCTGTATGACTGGTGGTGTTAACACATTATACAAGTAAACTGAGGCTCAGAATTTAAATTAATTTGCCCAAAGTCATTCAGTTTGACAGTTGTAATGCTGAGATTTGAGTCTAGGTGTACCTGACTCCAAAGCCTATATCTGCTCTTTTAACTACTGTGTTGTATACTGTCTTTCAGAATGAAAGTAAAGAGCAATTAGAAGCTGACCTAAAACAAAGAAATGCCTACCTTTCTGGTGACCATGAAGTAAACAGACCAGGACAGTATTTCGTGCCAGAAATCAATTGCACCTAAAAATATGATAGCCCTTAAAGAGTTCTTCCATGCAGTCATGAAAGTAAATCCCAGTGTTGTTATTACATGAAAGCAACGGCACGTTCTCTTGTTCCCATAAGGAAAAAGTGCAAGCATATTCCCCCATGGAGGAATCTGGGAGAGTCACTGCAGCTACAGTAGTACATTAGGTTGGCTTGGCAGCAAAAGGACATTTACAACCATATCATATTAGCCACCTTTAACTGCTTATAGTAATGTCTTTAGTAGATATGTTTATATTATTATTTCCAGGAAAACTGAAAATAGCTTTAATGACAGTTTTAAAAAAAAACCCTCAAAATAGTGATTCATAGATGGGCAGGTTAGATGTGAACATTAAGCACATGAGAGAGGTCCTTGGCTTCCCTTCTCGCCCACCTCCCAAATCCTTTTTCCCTGGTGATTCCTCTGCCATTACTGTCGGCACGAAGATCCTGCTGAAGACCAGCCTCTCTCCCAGTGCCGTCACTGAGTCTACCTCAGGCACAGGGGTCACTGCAGAAGGGTCGTAGCTCCTTGAGAGTCCTGATGCCAAAGTTGGGATCAGGTTTCTATATTCAGGCTTTTATGGGTCAGACCCCCATTGTTTCTGCAGGAAAACTTCTTTTCCAAATTCCAAGAGTCTCTTGACAACATAATTCATTATAATCACCAGGAAAGTTACTGAAATAATTGTGTTGGTATTGCTGGTACTGCTAAGTGATCAGGCCTCTAAGGACAAAACTACTCAATAAGAAGAGCTAACTTTAAAAATTTTCAATCCAGTACAGTGGTCAGGAAAAGTGTCACTAAGTACATAGATACATACTATTTTTGTGAAACTTCTTATGCTTCATACGATTATTATTTGTCTACTTAAAGGTAAAGATTATCTGATATACCCAACAGATAGTGTCTAACAGTGTTGGCACGTTAGGAGTCAAATACAAGTGGAGAAAAACAATTGAGGGACACTTTGATAGTAATATTGCTCTCTTGTGATCCTTTAGACCAGTAGGCGCTATTGTGGGCTTCCTACGCAAGATCATCCAATAGAGTGTAGGTATAAAATACTAAAACATCCAGTTATATTTTTGTTTCATCATTTAAATGTTTGCTTGGTGTGCATATGGACCACCCAGATTAGTCCAAGCCTGGAGATGCCTTCACACTGGTTTATTTTCCCTCTTGTTGAGTTTAACATGTTTCTAAGTAAAGCAGAATTAGCAATATCTGTCAGCATAACTACTTCTCTGTTACTGTATCACGTGTTGGTAACTTGATTATTTTTGTTATCCATTTAATACTTACATTTAGATACAAGAAAGATGGTTACAGGATAACCTTACTTTAAGAAAAAGAAACGAGGAACTAAAAGAAGTTGAAGAAGAAAGAAAACAACATTTGAAGGAAATGGGTCAAATGCAGGTTTTACAAATGAAAAAGTATGTTTTTAAAAATAGTCTTTAAAGAAAAGTCTTACTGAATGTGAGGAATATTCAATCCTTGTTGTCTTGTTTTTTTTTAATTTAAGCCTTTAGCCTAAATATCCCTTGAGATTTAAAGGATGGTAGACAGAGTTTTTATGCAAATGTACTTCATGGCCTTATGAATTGAGTTACTCAAGAAGTGATACAGAATTTATAGTCATACTGTAGTGATGGGCAGGATTAAAAGTGCCAAATCCCCAGATTTCTGCCAGTCTTCATCACAAGAAAATGGTACCGAGCATAAAGCATATTATGGCTTATGGACCCTGCCTGTGTCAGAGCTTCTGCTTATATATGTCTATAATATTGCCAGTGGAGTTATTGCTGAAGCAATTTGTTAGTGGAGACCCATTCTAGATGGTCCCTGTTGTAATTACGTGATAACTGGAGCATTGTATTTTTAAAGATCAGTCTGGTTCTTTCATTTGGCTTTACTGGTAATGACTGTGTTGCTGCCTTTCTGCTTCAGCAGAAAAGATTGTGTTCTTGCCATGTCTGCCTTAGAGTTGCCTCAAGATTACTTCTGTAGGAACCTGAAGGACCTGGTGTTATGCTATGGCACTAGACTGGCATAAAAGGTTGTACTAGACAAAGAGATTCTTGAGCCTTCTCAGCTAGTTAAATATAGTCCTCTCATTCATTCAGCCATTCCTTGTAAATTTCTCAACTGTTTTCTTGACTTAGCACAGAAATCTGACTCAGAATGCTTCAATTTTTCTAAAAGAGGTAACAATGGAATTTTTATTTCATAGAACCTAACAAATAGTTAATCTGTGTTTTTGTAAGTACTCTTTTTTCTTTTAGCTATTTAAAATCTTTCATATGATAAGAAAATCAGATTTTAAAACTGGAAGAGCTTTTCATCTTCAGCCTCTTCATTTGAATTAAAACTGAGACCCAGAAAAAAGGAAATTATGAAAGTCAGGAATGTGGCCCAGACACCCTAGTTCTCTCAAGCCTCAGCTCTGTAACACTGTAATGTTAGTGCTCCTGGTGGTAAAAGTAAAGCTTTTAGAAGAAATTTTTAAATGAAACAATTTATTCTTTGCGACTAAAGAACAAAACCATATATTTTGTAATTCCTTCAGTGATTGGTACATAACAGCGCTTTTTACATTCATTCAGACTACTAAATACAGCTGCTGTTTTTCAAACCTTTCTTCAATTAGGATACAGCAGACATGTCAACAAAACAGATAAAATCAGACCAATTTTGTAAGAATGTCCATAATCTAGAGAGCAATGCCTGGCATAAGAGGGTGTTTGATAAGTAATTGTTAAATGAGTGAATATTTTTAAACTATACATTAAAATCTATGTTATCTACAGTTATCAAAAAAGTTTGGGTATTTTACTATTTTGGGTCAGTGTTACGCCTGTTACATTTGTGTGAGAGAAATTTTGTTCTCAGAATAATACAAACTTTTAGTATTACTGCAGAAATTAATATTGTGATAATATTTTGTCTTTGACATACGTGAGCAAGATGATATCTATTACTCAGTAACTTCTCAGTGTTGGTAATCATGCATTCTCGATTCACAGTCAGAAGTTTTGAATTTGTAATGTTAATCACCCAAGAGTATTTTACTTAGGTTAGTAACTGTCTAAAAAGTGAGGAGCTTTCTCAGTGCTCATATATTATGAGAGTTTTTTATTTAGCATACAAAAATCAGCTGTTTAGAAACCTGGATACTTCAGAGATTTGAAAGGAAGAAAATTTTCTTTTAGTACTGAAGCCTTAAATAAAAAGCAAGGAGAGACTTCTGTTACCATAAGCTGTTTGCTAAGGAGAATGATAAATGATATTTATCTAAGGAGATCTGGTTTTTATACTTAAGGTTACTAAAAGTTAAAAGTGGTCCTCATTTGTCATTTTTCCCTTTTATAGTGAACATCAGAAGTTGGAAGAAAAAATAGAAAATATGAAAAGAAATCATAGTTTGGCAATAGGGCGACAGAAAGGTTATGAGGAAGAAATTCTTCATTTTAAGAAAGAACTTCGAGAACCTCAATTTCGGGATGCTGAGGAAAAGTATAGGGAAATGATGATTGTTATGAGAACAACAGAGCTTGTGAACAAGGATCTGGACATCTATTACAAGACCCTTGACCAGTAAGTATTAGACTGGTCCCCACTGGTTCCCACTGCAGTTAGTATCAATGATCATATTTTAGTCGTTTTTCCCTTTCTTACTTTTTAAATAAATGTAATACATTCCAATGAATAGAAAAATATATGTATGTATATACCACATGTGTTTACTTAAGTTATGAAGTTATAAAGCAAATTAATATTAAGGAGTGCTCATGAAACAACCCCCCATGTCCAGTCCAAGAACTCCACCATTATCACTAACTGGCATCCACTTAGATGCTCCACCCTATCTTCACCTCCTGTCATTCTTGCTCCTTGTGACCATTGACACAGATTATTGCTTTCTCTGCTTTTTAAAAAAATAATTTTATCATGTATATTGGTTTTAAAAAATTTTTTTTAAGAATGATAGAATATTCGGTATACTCTTGTAGGATTTGCCTTTTTTGTTTAGTTTTTATTTGTTCATGTTGCTTATAGCTGTAGCATTTTCACTGATTTACAGAATTCTGTTTTAGAAATACACCACAATGTATCCATTCCAGGGTCTTTACTAATATAATCCTTGCAGGTAGGAACATTGCTGTCATGTCTTCTGGAGCAGATATAAGGGATTCTCTAGGATATAAGTGGGAGTAAAATCTGTGTTGCAGGGTATGCTCAGTTTTACAAAGTAATGTTAAATTGTTTTCCAAGTAGTTTTACTAATTTCCACCACTAGCAGAATATAAGGGTTTTCTTTCATGCATTATGTGATGTTGATTTTTGTCAGTTTCTTAATTTTTGCCAGTCTAATAGGTTTAAAGTGGTAAATCATGTGGACTTCATTTTCAGTCCCAATTTCTAATATTGCTCAACATCTTTTCATGTACAAGCTTGTTGTTTCTTCTTTGAAATGTTTGTGACTTTTACCCAGTTTTTTTATTAAGGTATCATTGATACACAATCTTATGAATGTTTCACATGAGCAACATTGTGGTTCCTACATTCACCCCTATTATCAAGTCCCCCCACATACCCCATTACAGTCACTGTCCATCAGCATAGTAAGATGCTGTAGAGTCACTACTTGTCTTCTCTGTGCTGTACTGCCTTCCCCATACCTCCCCCCCTACATTATGTGTGCTGATCATAATACCCCTTAGTCCCCTTATCCCTCTCTTCCTGCCAGCCCTCCTCATCTCCCTTCCCTTTGGGAACCACTAGTCCCTTCTCGGGTTCTGTGAGTCTGCTGCTGTTTTGTTCCTTCAGTCTTTGCTTTGTTGTTATACTCCACAAATGAGTGAAATCATTTGGTTTTTCTCTTTCTCCACCTGGCTTATTTCACTGAGCATAATACCCTCTAGCTTCATCCATGTTGTTGCAAATGGTAGGATTGTTTTCTTCTTATGGCTGAATAATATTCCATTGTGTATATGTACCACATCTTTATCCCTTCATCTACTAATGGACACTTAGGTTGCTTCCATGTCGTCTTGGGTATTATAAGTAGTGCTGCAGTATACATAGGGGTGCATGTATCTGTGATCTTGTTTTCTTCAAGTAAATTCCTAGGAGTGGAATTTCTGGGTCACATGGTATATCTGTTTTTAGTTTTATGAGGAACCTCCATATTGCTTTCTGCAATATTTGGAACTACATTCTCACCAACAGTGTAGGGGGATTCTCCCCCATCCTCACCAGCATTTGTTGTTCCTTGTATTTTGGATGATGGCTATCCTTACTGGTGTGAGGTAATATCTCATTGTGGTTTTAATTTGCATTTCCTTGATGATTAGTGATGTGGAGCATCTTTTCATGTGCCTGTTGGCCATCTGAATTTCTTCTTTGGAAAAGTGTCTGTTCGGATCCTCTGCCTATTTTTTAATCAGTTTATTTGCTTTTTGGTTGTTGAAGCATGAGCTCTTTATATATTTTGGATGTTAATGCCTTATCAGATATGTCATTTACAAATATATTCTCCCATACTGTAGGATGCATTTTGTTCTGCTGATGGTGTCCTTTGTTGTACAGAAGCATGTTAGTTTGATATAGTCCCACATGTTCATTTTTGCTTTTGTTTCCCTTGCCCAAGGAGATATGTGCAGGAAAAAGTTGCTTATGTTTATATTCAAGAGATTTCTGCCTTTATTTTCCTCTAAGAGTTTTATGGTTTCATGATTTACGTTTAGATCTTTGATCCATTTCAAGTGTACTTTTGTGTATGGAGTTAGACAGCAGTCTAGTTTCATTCTCTTACATGTAGCTGTCCAGTTTTCCCAGAACCAGTTGTTGTTGAGGAGGCTATCATTTCCCCACTATATATTGACCATATATGCTTGGGTTTGTATCTGGACTCTATTCTATTCCATTGATCTATGGGTCTGTTCTTGTTCCAGTACTGAATTGTCTTGATTACTGTGGCTTTGTAGTAGAGCTTGAAGTTGGGGAGTGTAATACACACACACACACACACACACACACACACACTTATTCTCCCTTCTCAGGATTGCTTTGGCTGTTCGGGGTCTTTTGTGGTTCCGTATGAATTTTAGAACTATTTATTCTAGTTAGTTGAAGAATGCTGTTGGTATTTAGATAGATTTCATTGAATCTGTAGATTGCTCTAGGCAGGATGGCCATTTTGACAATATTAACTCTTCCTATCCATGAGCATGGGATGTATTTCCATTTATTGGTGTCTTCTTTAATTTCTCTCAAGAGTGTCTTGTAGTTTTCAGGGTATAGGTCTTTCACTTCCTTGGTTAGGTTTATTCCTAGGTATTTTATTCTTTTATATGCAATTGTAAATGGAGTTGTTTTCCTGATTTCTCTTTCTGTTAGTTCATTGTTAGTATACAGGAATGCAACAGATTGCTGGGTATTAATTTTGTATCCTGCAACATTGCTGAATTCAGTTATTAGACCTAGGCCTGGTAGTTTTGGAGTGGATTCTTTAGGGTTTTTTATGTTCAATATCATGTCCTCTTCAAACAGTGACAGTTCTTCCTTACCAATGTGGATGCCTTTTATTTTTTTGTGTTGTCTGATTGCCGTGGCTAGGACCTCCAGTACTATGTTGAATAGAAGTAGTGAGAGTGGGCATCCTTGTCTTGTTACTGATCTTAGAGGAAAAGCTTTTAGCTTTTCACTGTTAAGTATGATGTTGGCTGTGGGTTTGTCATATATGGCCTTTATTATGTTGAGGTACCTCTCCTCTATACCCATTTTTGTTGAGAATTTTTATCATGAATGGATATTGAATTTTGTCAAATGTGTTTTAAGCTCTATGGAAATGATCATGTGATTTTAGTCCTTTTTGTTGATGTAGTGGATGATGTTGATAGATTTCCAAATACTGTACCATCCATGCATCCCTGGGATAAATCCCACTTGATCATGGTGTATGATCTTTTCTGTGTATTTTTGAATTTGGTTTACTAGTATTTTGTTGAGTATTTTTGCATCTCTCTTCATTAGGAATATTGGTCTGTAATTTTCCTTTTTTATGGTGCCTTTGGTTTTGGTATTAGAGTGATGCTGGCCTCATAGAATGAGTTTGGAAGTATTCCCACCTCTAATACTTTTTGGAAACATTTAAGCAGGATAGATATTAGGTCTTCTCTAAATGTCTGATAAAATGCAATGGTGAAGCCATCTGGTTCAGGGGTTTTGTTCTTAGGTAGTTTTTTTATTACCAGTTCAGTTTCATTGCTGGTAATTGGTCTGTTCAGATTTTCTTTTTCTTCCTGGGTCAGTCTTGGAAGGTTGTATTTTTCTAAAAAGTTGTCCATTTCTTCTAGATTATCCAGTTTGTTAGCATGTAATTTTTCATAGTATTCTCTAAGAATTCTTTGTATTTCTGTGATGTCCGTAGTGATTTTTCCTTTCTCATTTCTGATTCCCCAGTCCCTTTCCCTTTGGTAACTATTGGTCCCTTCTTGGGTTCTGTGACTCTGCTGCTGCTTTTGTTCCTTCAGTTTTTGCTTCGTTCTTATGCTCCACAAGTGAGAGAAATCATTTGGTACTTGTCTTTCTCCACCTGGCTTATTTCACTGAGCATAATACCCTCTAAGTCCATCCATGTTGTTGCAAATGGTAGGATTTGTCCTCTTCTTGTGGCTGAATAATATTCCATTGTGTATATGTACCACATCTTCTTCATCCATTCATCTACTGGTGGACACTTAGGTTGCATCCATTCCCTGGCTATTGTAAACAGTGCTTCGATAAACATACAGTTGCATATACCTTTCTGAAACTGGGATCCTGCACTCTCAGGGTAAATTCCTAGGAATGGAATTCCTGGGTCAAATGGTATCTCCATTTATAGTCTTTTGAGGAACCTCCATACTGCTTTCCATAGTGGCTGAACTAGTTTACATTCCCACCAGCAGTGTAGGAGGGCTCCCCATTCTCCGCATCCTCACCAACATTTGTTGTTCCAAGTCTTCTCTATGTTGGGCATCCTAACTAGTGAGGTTATATCTCATTGTGGTTTTAATACCAATTTCTTATAAATGCCACTCCTTCTCTAGGTTCAGTTTCCCTTTTTTTTTTAAGTACATCTGTTGCCTGGCAGTTGCATCTGGGGAAGTCTCTCCCTGCACATTAGGTAAGACCTCAAACCAGACTGAAGAGGGTTCTTAACTCTGACAGAGAAAGAATTAGAAAATTCTGACGAGTATAGGTAAGGAAGGACTTCATTAAAGTGAGAGTAGTAGTGAATGGCAGCAGCCATGCAGGGAGTAAAGAGCAAAGAAGAACAGAGGCAGGAAAGGAAAGTCCATTGAACTCCTGCTCAGCACAGGGCAGATCCCTCACCAACTCCTGAAGGCAGAGCACCTGGGGTCCAGCGTCTGCTTGAATCTGCAGTGTGGGAACTAAGCCCCTACCATCCCGGGATCTGGGGGAGCCACAGAGTGCTGGATGGAATGAGATTATGCTCTGAGAACTATTCAAAGCAAAGAAAGGAGAGGCTTTTCAGGCAGGCTACTGAAGAGTGTGATTGTACAACTGCGGTCCTGCCCAGGTCACCC